GTTAGTTCTGTAGAACTCAGTTCACAGAACCTTGTATAGACTTAGTGATTTTCGACGTTGTACTGAGGTTGTGTGTCTCATAGACACTCTGAGCATCTCAGGTCCTGAGCTATGGCTTCTGACTTAATTTGTACTGGTTTCTGTGTATTATCACAGTCGGGTATTTTCTTATGCTGAACTTAGATTCAGTATTATGGGAGTTTTGTGACTTTTGTGGAGGATGTGCTGATGGTCCCTACTAGCTGTCGTTATATTATCTCCTTGTTCCTGATTCTGTGTCGCAGTTGCTTGTTGTATTGCTATTGGGCTTTAGCATTCTTTTTGTTGTTCAAGCAGACTGTTCTGGTTGCCAGTCGGTTAAGAAGTTAGTTTATGAGAGGACTTTGTCAGTCACTTGTTTAAGTCTAGTCGAGTCTTGAGACATAGCGAACTACTTAGAGCACTTACACACATACACACTTGTACATATTTGTAATATCTTATTAAATGTTAATGTACCAGATGGTACTTAAGAATTATAAATGTGATATGTGCTTTCAGTACAATAATATTGAACTCGAGAGATGTGATATTATTTTGATTACTGTGATTAATTTAATTTAATTTAATTTGATAATATACCTCTAGACTTAATAAATTTATTAAATTTTAATTTCTCTAGTTAGTAGCCTACCAGTTGTAATCCTGAAGCACTATTGAATCATACTGATTTCTAATGGATAATTGGACAAGGATACTGACTACTTGTTACGAAAACCCAGTAACAGGCTGGATGCTAGAAGGGCAGTCCTTTCTAGTATTCACTGGAGATCTCTAAGCTTTTAGAATCGCGTTTTTTGTAACACATAAAATCTTAATAATAATAATAATGATAATAAAATACATACTGCTACTGATAATATAATAATCATAAAAATAAATCATCATCATCATCATCATCATCATGGTGGAATGATGAAGTAAAGGGTGTGATAAAAGAGAAAAAGGTAGCTTACGAGAGGTTTTTACAAAGCAGAAGTGTTATAAGAAGAACAGAGTATATGGAGAGTAAAAGAAAGGTGAAGAGAGTGGTGAGATAGTGCAAAAGGAGAGCGGATGATAGAGTGGGAGAGAGGTACTGTAAAGGAATTTTAATGAAAATAAGAAAAAAATTTGGAGTGAGTTGAACAAGTTAAGAAAGCCTAGGGAACAAATGGATTTATCAGTTAAAAACAGAGAAGGGAAGTTAGTAGATGGGGAGATGGAGGTTTTGGGTAGATGGCGAGAGTATTTTGAGGAACTTTTAAATGTCGACGAAGAAAGGGAGGCGGTAATTTCATGCACTGGCCAGGGAGGTATATCATCTTTTAGGAGTGAAGAAGAACAGGATGTGAGTGTGGGGGAGGTGCGTGAGGCATTACGTAGAATGAAAGGGGGCAAAGCAGCTGGAACTGACGGGATCATGACAGAAATGTTAAAAGCAGGTGGGGGGGACATAGTGTTGGAGTGGTTGGTATTTTTGTTTAATAAATGTATGAAAGAGGGGAAGGTACCTAGGGATTGGCAGAGAGCATGTATAGTCCCTTCATATAAAGGGAAGGGGGACAAAAGAGATTGTAAAAATTGTAGAGGAATAAGTTTGAGTATACCAGGAAAAGTGTATGGTAGGGTTATTATTGAAAGAATTAGAGGCAAGACAGAATGTAGAATTGCGGATGAGCAAGGAGGTTTTAGAGTGGATAGGGGAGGTGTAGATCAAGTGCTTACATTGAAGCATATATCTGAGTAGTATTTAGATAAAGGTCGGGAAGTTTTTATTGCATTTATGGATTTAGAAAAGGCATATGATAGAGTGGATAGGGGAGCAATGTGGCAGATGTTGCAAGTGTATGGAATAGGTGGTAAGTTACTAAATGCTGTAAAGAGTTTTTATGAAGATAGTAAGGCTCAGGTTAGGGTGTGTAGAAGAGAGGGAGACTACTTCCCAGTAAAAGTAGGTCTTAGACAGGGATGTGTAATGTCACCATGGTTGTTTAATATATTTATAGATGGGGTTGTAAAAGAAGTAAATGCTAGGGTGTTCAGGAGAGGGGTGGGATTAAATTATGGGGAATTAAATACAAAATGGGAAGTGACACGGTTACTTTTTGGTGATGATACTGTGCTTATGGGAGATTATAAAGAAAAATTGCAAAGGTTAGTGGATGAATTTGGGAATGTGTGTAAAGTTAGAAAGTTGAAAGTGAACATAGAAAAGAGTAAGGTGATGAGAGTATCAAATGATTTAGATAAAGAAAAATTGGATATCAAATTGAGGAGGAGTAGTATGGAAGAAGTGAATGTTTTCAGATATTTGGGAGTTGACGTGTCAGCGGATGGATTTATGAAGGATGAGGTTAATCATAGAATTGATGAAGGAAAAAAGGTGAGTGATGCATTGAGGTATATGTGTAGGCAAAAAATGTTATCTATGGAGGCAAAGAAGGGAATGTATGAGAGTATAGTAGTACTAACACTCTTATATGGGTGTGAAGCTTGGGTTGTAAATGCTGCAGCAAGGTGGTGGTTGGAGGCAGTGGAGATGCCCTGTCTAAGAGCAATGTGTGGTGTAAATATTATGCAGAAAATTCGGAGTGTGGAAATTAGGAAAAGGTGTGGAGTTAATAAAAGTATTAGTCAGAGGGCTGAAGAGGGGATGTTGAGGTGGTTTGGTCATTTAGAGAGAATGTATCAAAGTAGAATGACATGGAGAGCGTATAAATCTGTAGGGGATGGAAGGTGGGGTATGGGTCGTCATCGAAAAGGTTGGAAAGAGGGGGTAAAGGAGGTGTTGTGGGCGAGGGGTTTGGATTTCCAGGAAGCGTGTGTGAGCGTGTTAGATAGGAGTGAATGGAGACAAATGGTATTTGGGACCTGACGATCTGAGAGTGTGAGCAGGGTAATATTTGGTGAAGGGATTCAGGGAAACCGGTTATTTTATATAACCGGACTCGAGTCCTGGAAATGGGAAGTACAATGCCTGCACTCTAAGGGAGGAGTTTGGGATATTGGCAGTTTGGAGAGATATATTGTGTCTTTTTATACGTATATACTTGTAATAATGTTGGTAGAATTACCAACAATATGTAAAGTAAAAGGACACAAGTGCAACTAATGTGACATTTAATTGTGGCAACGTTTCGCTCTCCAGGAGATTTGTCAAGCCAATACAAATGTCACATAAGTTGCACTTGTTTCCTTGTACTTTACACATATATACTTCTAAACTGTTGTATTCTGGGCACCTCTGCAAAAACAGTGATTATGTGTGAGTGAGGTGAAAGTGTTGAATGATGATAAAAGTATTTTCTTTTTGGGGATTTTCTGTCGTTTTGGGTCACCCTGCCTCTGTGGGAGACGGCTGACTTGTTGAAAAAAAAAAGATAATAATAATTATCTCTGGAGTGGTATCAATGTCATATGTATTTTGTATAGGTTTGGTAGCTGACATTTAAACCACTCCAGAGCAATTATTATTACTACTACTATCCACATACCTTGTTCATTTATTAAGCTGCCACGAGAGACAGGGAGAATATAATAATAATAATAGTAATTAATTATATTATTCACTCTGGAGTGCTTTAAATGTCAGCTACCAAAATTATATGAAATGCGTATGACACTGAAAGCGCCCCAGAGTGATTAATAATTATTAGTTATATTTTATTATTATTAGTATTATTATAACCATCGACATCTTTTTCACTTAGTCATTTCATAATTAAGCTGCCACGAGAGACCAAGAATGTAAACACAGACGAACACACCAGCTAACCCCTTTATTGTGAACTTCTTTTGTACTTCTTCCATTTTTCTTTCTTTACTCTTCCAAGTGCTGCTGCACTTTTATCTTGTACTATAGGGTGCATAATCAAGTACAAATTTACAGACGAAATATGTAGTCTTGGAGATTGCTTGATACTGAGACTCATCACTAACCCATTTACAGTGAACTTCTATTGTACTTCTTCTATTTAACTCTTCCAAGTGCTGCTGCACTTCTGTCTTGTACTATGGGATGCACAATCAAGTACAAATTTGTACATGTAGTCTTCGAGACTTTAAAAGCTAGTGTACTGAGTGTCTGTAAGAAGGAGATTTAGATGCTTGATGCTGCGACACTGTGCTGCCCGTTTCCGTGACCCAAGTTCTCGTACGGCATGCAATACTGACTCGTCGGAGAGCCTGCCATAACTCCGAGTTGTCAGTAAAAGAGTACGTCGGTGAGTGAGGGGAGGCTGTATTTAAAATTATTTATTGAGCACTGTTGAGGCATCTTATTTGCCTGTGTTATGTTCAGTTTGCACTATTTTTATTAATTACATTGTGATGAATGGTTTGAAAAACCGACAAGTTGAAGATTGAGACACTTATGCAGCATATGGGAATCTTTATTCAGGAAACGTTTCGCCACACAGTGGCTTCATCAGTCCAATACAAAGAGGAAGGCGTAAGGAGAGGAGGAGTATGAGGTAATCAGTCCCTCAGCCTGGAGTCGATGTGTTCAGTCCATCAATCTTGTAGAAGATTGATGGACTGAATACATCGACTCCAGGCTGAGGGACTGATTACCTCATACTACTCCTCTCCTTACGCCTTCCTCTTTGTATTGGACTGATGAAGCCACTGTGTGGCGAAACGTTTCCTGAATAAAGATTCCCATATTCTGCATAAGTGTCTCAATCTTCATTAATTACATTAAATGCTGAACTGAATTGTAAGGTCAGCTTAGTTTTGGCAAGACAGCAATTGAATGAAAGATGAATACGTTTTCTATTTTGGGGGTAAGCTTACTTTAGCGGGAGATGGTCAGTGGGATAAATAAAATATCTGAGGATTGTATACTTGCAGGAAAAATAAAAGCATATCTAATATTAATAGTTTGAGAGAAAAGCTTGTTGTGGCTCCTCAGTTTGTTATAGATATGTAATTTGTGTTGTATAATGCTGATTATTTAGGAATTTAATCTTTATTTGCAGCAGAACGACCAGGGTTAATAAAAATGCCTAGTGCCATAGATCGATCAGTGGTACGACAAAATGTTCGGTTTATGCACTCCCGCTCCCAGTTCTCCCCAGAATATTTTCAGTTCCTCAAGAAACTTATAATGACAAATCATCCCTTTGTCCTCCAACCTCCACAGGATAGAGTAAGTATTCATGACTACTATTACTTGTCTTTTTCAGTATCAGAGAACAAAAAAGGCACATTACCGTGACTGGAACAGTACACAGATAACCCACATGTAGGAGAGAGAAGCTTACAATGATGTTTCGGTCTGACTTGGACCATTTATAAAGTCACACTAACACTGAAGAGTGAGAGAACCAATGTATATATAGGTGAGGGAGCCGAGACCAAGAGAGTAGTGGTAAGGTGGGTATTGGAGGTAGTAGAAAGTAGGATAGTTGTTTTAGTGGCGAAAGAGAAGGGGAGTGAAGGGAGGCAAAAAGTAATAGTAAAAATGCAGTGGTAGTCACAATACTAGTAGAAGTGGGGTCAGTCTAAGGACAAGGAAAAGGAGTACTGCAGGAGAGCTAAGGACCCACAAAGGGTAGGACAAAAATACAGATGGGGAGGGTGGAGGGAACTGAAGGACAGTACACTTATGCAGAAAAAGAAGGAAAAAAAAAATAAAGGAGAAGAGATAGGGAGAGGAGAATAAAGGATCAGGTCAAATCACGAGCATTCTGAAGTTTGGAGCACTTGATAGTATAATGAGAAAGACATCAATAGAGACAAAGCCAGGGCTAAGATTCATACAAGGAAAGTTGTGTATAAAGAATGCTGCAACAAGACTGCGGCTGTGAAAGCTAGAAGCAGGGCAGGCAGTTTTAGCAGGTTATTCATGTATTATCAGTATCAGATTTTGTTGGTGGGATCACCCCTCTAAATTAGCTAATTTTGATTACTGGATTTTTACAGAAAGGTTTTTTGTGAATTGTTTTGAATATTCATACACAAATAATCTGCACATAGGAGAGGGGAGCTTGTGACGATGTTTCGGTCTGACGTAGACCATTTACAAAGTCATTTACAAAGTGTGACTTTGTAAATGGATCAAGTTGGACTGAAACATCGTAAGCTCCCCTCTCCTATGTGTGGGTTATTTGTGTATTGTTCCAGTCGCAGTATTGTTATTTTTTACTATTCATGACTGTTTTTCAGTGCCCATTTGGTTATGGTTTGCCTTGCAACCCCTAAGTTGAAAATTGACAATTGGATTTCATTCAAAATTTACTCAATGTATTTTTTCATGATTAGGTAGGATTTGATGAAATTGTGGGCATGACCTCTTATTCTTTAATGCTGTAGTTTAATAAGGAGAAATTTATGATCTACAATGGAAAAGCTTCTGTAGCTCAGTAAATAGTCCAGTAAAAACAAGGTGCCTAAGGATTGGCATAAAGCATATGTGATTCCTTTGTTCAATAGAAAATGAGATGGGCATAGTTTTTTTTTTTTCAACAAGTCTGATGTCTTCCACCTAGACAGGGTGACTCAAAAAGAAAGAAAAAATCCCCAGAACAAAAATACTTTCATCGTCATTCAACACTTTCACCTCACTCATACATAATCACTGTTTTTGCAGGAAGTGTCCAGATACAACAGTTTAGAAGTATATATAAAGATATATTACACATCCCTCCAAATTGCCAGTATCCCAAACCCCTTCTTTAAAATGCAGGCATTGTACTTCCCATTTCCAGTACTCAAGTCTGGCTATATAAAAATAACCAGTTTCCCTGAATCCCTTCACAAAATATTACCTGGCTCACACTCCAACAGCTCGTCAGGTCCCAAAAACCATTCCTCTCCACTTACTTCTATCTAATACGTTCATGCACGCTTGCTGGAAGTCCAAGCCCCTCACCCACAAAACCTCCTTTACCCCCTCCCTCCAACCTTTTCAAGGACGACCCCAACCGCGCCTACCTTCCCCTATGCTCTGTGTCATTCTACTTTGACCCATTCTCTCTAAATGACCAAACCTCCTCAACAACCCCTCTTCATCCCTCTGACTAATACTTTTATTAACTCCACACCTTCTCCTGATTTCCACACTTCGAAATCTCTACATAATATTTACACCACACATTGCCCTTAGACAGGACATCTCCACCGCCTCCAACCGCTTCCTTACTGCAGCATTTACAACCCAAGATTCACACCCATATAAGAGTGTTGGTACCACTATACTTTCATACATTCCCTACTTTGCCTCCATTGATAATGTTTTTTGTCTCCACATAACCTCAACACACCACTCACCTTTTTTCCCTCATCAATTCTGTTGTTAACCTCATCCTTCATAAACCCGTCCACTGACACATCAACTCCCAAATACATATCTGACAACATTCACTTCTTCCATACTCCTCTCGAATGTGATATCCAATTTTTCTTTATCTAAATCATTTGATACCCTCATCACCTTACTCTTATCTGTGTTCACTTTGAAGACTTTGAAGTCTGCTAATAGAGATGACATGCTTAATAGGGATAATGTTTAAAAAATGCTGTGACACTGAAAGTGTTCCAAGTGTTAATTAGACGTCAAAAATCCAGAATCATTATGAAGACAAGTTCTCTGCTACATTTGTATTTTCAGGTTGCAGAAAGTGAGGAGATAGCCATGATCAGTACTCAGCTGTGCAGCAAGTTCCTTTTCTCTGTGGGGCTACATACTAAAAAGACTTTGCGTGGTCCAGCACCGGAGTGGTATGATGCACTACAAGTAAGGACCCAGGAAGGCTATGATTACCTGTTTGTAGTTATCACTTTTTTGAACTGTGGGTACTACCATATCCTTCAAACTTGTATCTATTATATCTATCAGAGTTTTAGAAGAAACAAGGCATCAAAGATACAAATAGAATAAGGTGGTTCAGTTAATGAGCTATTCGTTGCAGTATAATAATTTAACCATTGACAAATTAGTACAACTATAAGCAATTTTTTTTTTTTTTTTTTTGGTTTTTCTTTATAAACACTAGAATATGTTTTTCTATAGACATTGGTTGAATTATTTGTATTGCTTCTCAAATTTTGTTCCACAAAATTAGACAAAAGAAATTAGCTTATCTCTATACACTAAACTTAAAATGCTTCTTTCTTTATTTTTATATAGCCGGATTGAGTCCTGGAAATGGGAAGTACAATGCCTGCACTCTAAAGGAGGGGTTCGGGATATTAGCAGTTTGGAGGGATATGTTGTGTATCTTTATACGTATATGCTTCTAAACTGTTGTGTTCTGAGCACCTCTGCAAAAACAGTGATAATGTGCGAGTGTGGTGAAAGTGTTGAATGATGATGAAAGTATTTTCTTTTTGGGGATTTTCTTTCTTTTTTTTGGGTCACCCTGCCTCAGTGGGAGACGACCGACTTGTTGAAAAAAAAAAAAAAAAAGATAGAGTTGATAGAGGAGCAGTGTGGCAGATGTTGCAAGTATATGGAATAGGTGGTAAGTTACTAAATGCTGTTAAGAGTTTTTATGAGGATAGTGAGGCTCAGGTTAGGGTGTGTAGAAGAGAGGGAGAATACTTCCTGGTAAAAGTAGGTCTTAGACAGGGATGTGTAATGTCACCATGGTTGTTTAATACATTTATAGATGGGGTTGTAAAGGAAGTAAATGCTAGGGTGTTCGGGAGAGGGGTGGGATTAAATTTTGGGGAATCAAATTCAAAATGGGAATTGACACAGTTACTTTTTGCTGATGATACTGTGCTTGTGGGAGATTCTAAAGAAAAACTGCAAAGGTTAGTGGATGAGTTTGAGAATGTGTGTAAAGGTAGAAAGTTGAAAGTGAACATAGAAAAGAGTAAGGTGATGAGGGTATCAAATGATTTGGATAAAGAAAAATTGGATATCAAATTGGGGAGGAGGAGTATGGAAGAAGTGAATGTTTTCAGATACTTGGGAGTTGACGTGTCAGCGAATGGATTTATGAAGGATGAGGTTAATCATAGAATTGATGAGGGAAAAAAGGTGAGTGGTGCATTGAGGTATATGTGGAGTCAAAAAACGTTATCTATGGAGGCAAAGAAGGGAATGTATGAAAGTATAGTAGTACCAACACTCTTATATGGATGTGAAGCTTGGGTGGTAAATGCAGCAGCGAGGAGACGGTTGGAGGCAGTGGAAATGTCCTATCTAAGGGCAATGTGTGGTGTAAATATTATGCAGAAAATTTGGAGTGTGGAAATTAGGAGAAGGTGTGGAGTTAATAAAAGCATTAGTCAGAGGGCTGAAGAGGGGTTGTTGAGGTGGTTTGGTCATTTAGAGAGAATGGATCAAAGTAGAATGACATGGAAAGCATATAAATCTATAGAGGAAGGAAGGAGGGGTAGGGGTCATCCTCGAAAGGGTTGGAAAGAGGGGGTAAAGGAGGTTTTGTGGGTGAGGGGCTTGGACTTCCAGCAAGCGTGCATGAGCGTGTTAGATAGGAGTGAATGGAGACGAATGATACTTGGGACCTGACGATCTGTTGGAGTGTGAGCAGGGTAATATTTAGTGAAGGAATTCAGGGAAACCAGTTATTTTCATATAGTCGGACTTGAGCCCTGGAAATGGGAAGTACAATGCCTGCACTTTAAAGGAGGGGTTTGGGATATTGGCAGTTTGGAGGGACATGTTCTGTATCTTTATATGTATATGCTTCTAAACTGTTGTATTCTGAGCACCTCTGCAAAAACAGTGATAACTTGTGAGTGTGGTGAAAGTTTTGAATGGTGATGAAAGTATTTTCTTTTTGGGGATTTTCTTTCTTTTTTGGGTCGCCCTGCCTCGGTGGGAGACGACCGACTTGTTGAAAAAAAATATATATATATATACACACACACACGCCTATCATCCGACTTACGACCTGCTCGACATACGACGACTCGACTTACGACCGTGTTTTGTATCCCAAATTTTTTTATGAAATAAACAAGTGTTTGTGTTGTACACAGTGTTTATCCTAAACCTTACAGTATAAAATACAGTACTAACAACATAAAAAGCAAAGTAAAACATGAAATACCAAAATAAAACAATAAAATAGTCATTACAAAAATGTTTTGTTGATATTCAGTAGTAAAGTTCGACTTACGACCATTTCGACTTATGACCGGTTTCTTGGAACCGAACTCGGTCGTAAGTCGGATGGTAGGTGTGATATATATTAGAGTTGATTTCCTTTATTCCGTTTATTACAATATACAGTACACTGCTGTATAAACATTTAAAAATATACCAGAAATGTTATAAATGGTGCAGAGGTGACATTAAAACAGTATCAATGATGGTTGACACAAACCCACTACCATTATAATATGCTCCTCATTTAGTGACGAATTCATTTACCAACGTGGTCTTAGGAACTGAGCTCTGTCGTTAAGTGAGGAGAGGCTGTAGTAAAAACTCAGTTTTAGTTATTTCTTTTTTTTTTTTTTTTAATTTTGTGAGCATTAAAGTTAAGTTGATCATTGAGCAAAGGAGTGGTTCAGTCTTGCATCTGTAGAGCCCAAGACAAAAATGTTACTTACCTGGGGCATGTTATTGTGGAAGCATTAATTTCAAAATGACATTTGAGACTATGATGGTGCAGGTATATTTAATTATTATTTAATTTTAAATATTATAATGCATATGACACTTTTTATTTTTAACAGGTTCATTTAAGAGCGTCAGTTCACACACGTGCGTGGTTTGCACAGCATATATTATTTACCCAACCACACCGCTTTATGGAATATCTACTAGAATGCCCTGCACCGGAAGTTCGGATGGTGTTTAGCAAGTTAATAGTCTTGGTGGGTCATTGTGCTCGCAATGACCCACCTCAACCATTAGGATGGGGACCTTTGAAGCACCATCCAGGTACAGTTACTATTGTTGATTAAAAAAAATTTTCAGTTTTATTGTGAAATTTATAGGCCATATGAAATGTGTTTGATGCAGATATAGATCTGGACTCTATCAGTGAATCCTCACTTGGGCAGATCAGTATAGTGCATTGATTAATGTGGAGGAATTATTAATGAGTGGTTTATAGCTTAACCCTTTGACTGTTTTGGACTTACATATACTCAAAGATTGTAGCAGCTTCGAATCAAGTGGAAGAAAGCTGGTAGGTCCACATGTAAGAGAATGGGTCTGTGTGGTCAGTGTGTGCTGTACAAAAAAAAAAATTCTACAGCACACAGTGCGTAATGAGAAAAAAAAAAACTCTGACCATGTTTTTGGAATAAAATGCCAACTTTGAGGTGTATTTTCGTACAGTATTTATAGTTGTATTCTCGTTTTCTTGGTCTCATTTGATAGAATGGAAAACATACTACAGAAATAGAGGTGACTTTTATTAGTTTCATGGTGAAAACTACCTTGAAATTGAGCTCAAAGTAGTGGAAATGTTCGATTTTTGCCAATGTTCAAAAGAAAACAAATCACGCCACGCGTCCAATACACGTCAACTGGTGAGTCTAATATTCTTTCACAAGTGCACTGATATTATTTATTCCATTTTTAAAATAATGCAGTAGTCTGCCTAACAGTAAATCTATTGACTCAAGAAATCGTAATGACACGATTGCAAATAAACCATACCCCCGGCCGGGATTGAACCCGCGGTCATAGTCTCAAAACTCCAGCCCGTCGCGTTAGCCACTAGACCAGCTAGCCACAATAAGATTCATCCAACTAGGTATATTTCTACACCATAGGAAAGTTAGCACAGGCACCTCTGTGACCACAAATGCAAGTTTTTACAGACGAATATACCTAGTTGGATGAATCTTATTGTGGCTAGCTGGTCTAGTGGCTAACGCGACGGGCTGGAGTTTTGAGACTCTATGACCGCGGGTTCAATCCCGGCCGGGGGTATGGTTTAGTAAATCTATTTTTTGTGTGAATGAAAAAATCAAAATAGAAAGCAAGAGTAATATAAGAGGAGCCTGGAGACGTGACTGATAGAGGAAATGTTATTTTAGTGCCAAGAGTGTCTGCATTGTTTATTCTGGACCCTATTTTGAAATTGGCATCTTTTTTAATTTGCATGAAATTGGCTAAATTGGCAATTTCTGACCACTATTGGGTAGTTGAAATTGGTAAATAGGTGGTTTATTGTACTCAATTGATAGAACAAATGGAGCGCTGAAGAAATAGTAATGAGTTTTGTTAACCGGAACAATGGAATTGGCAGAAAATAGGGCTCAGTCTGCGAAATCGCCGATGCGTATATATCGCCGAGATCGCTAGCTTTGCGAGATCGTAATTCCGTAAATTTTCCATCAAATTTCATACTTTTGGTGTCATTATCATCGGGAAAAGATTCTCTATCGTTTCATAAGATTTTTTTTTTTTTTAACATAGAATGACAGTTTCAGAAATGGGCTTGCGACAGTCAAAGGATTAATTATGCAGGCAAAAAATTAAAGCTATTAACCCTTAAACTGTCCAAACGTAGATCTACGTTTTTTCAACATTTGAAAGTATGTAAAAAAAGTAATCTTTTTTTTTTTTTTTTTTACATATGAAAATGTGTAAAGAAAACTTTGATCTACATTTTTTTTTTTTTGTTATATTTGAAAATATGTAAAAAAATGTAGATCTACTTTTGGAGCACTACGCATGTGAATGTAGATCTGCTTGGGCAGTTTAAGGGTTAATGTAAGTCTCCAACTTGTGATGTTTTTATTTAGCTATCTCCAGTAGCATCAGCTTCCAAAGCTGCTACAAGTCCTCCAAAATCCCAGTAGCATCAACCTCCTAAGTTCATACAACTGCTGAGAAATGCCCTGATTCTCCTTGACCAGTACCATCATCTACTGCTTCTTCTAATTTCCCTAACTCAACTCAAAATTAGCAAGAAATATCTCTTGCAGCGAGGAAGACAGGATCAACATTCAGGACAAATACTGTAAACAGCATATAGTAAAATACTTTCATTGAATGTATGTGTGTATATACTAGAAATAGTTTGATGTATTTCCAGCTGAAAAGGCAAAGGGTACCTGGAGTTCATCTGGAGAGGGTTTCAGGGGTCAACGCCCCCACGGTTGGTCTGAGACCAGGCCTCATGGTGGATCTGGGTCTGATCATCCAGGCTATTACTGCTGGCCGCATGCAAACTGATGTACGAACTACAGCCCGGTTGGTCAGGTACTGGCTTTAGGTGCCTGTCCAGTGCCTTCTTGAAGACAGCCAGGGGTCTATTGGTAATTCCCCTTGTGTATGCTGGAAGGCAGTTGAACAGTCTTGGGCTCCAGGCATTTATTGTGTTGTCTCTCAGTGTACTGGGGAATGTTGCATCTCCTGCCAAGTCTTTTGCTTTCATAGGGAGTGATTTTCGTGTGCAGGTTTGGTATGAATCCCTCCAGGACCTTCCAAGTGTATATTATCATGTATCCCTCTCGTCTGCATTCCAGGGAATAAAGATAAAGGACCTTCAACCGTTCCCAGTAATTTAGGTGCCTTATAGTACTTATATGTGCAGTGAAAGTTCTTTGTATGCTCTACAGATCTGCAATGTCTCCAGCCTTGAAGGGAGCCATTAGTGTACAGCAGTATTCCAGGCTAGAGAGAAGCAATTTGAAGAGGATCATCGTGGGCTTGGCGTCCCTAGTTTTGAAGGTTCTCATTATCCATCTTATCATTTTCCTAGCAGATGAGGTAGATACATTGTTGTGGTCTTTGAAGGCGAGATCCTCTGACATTATCACTCCCAGGTCCTTCACATTTCTTTTTTTGCTCTATTGTATGGTTAGTATTTGTCATATGCCCTGATGCATTTTTAATTTCCTCAAGTTTTCCACATCTGAATAGTTGAAATTTATCCTCGTTCACCTTCATATTGTTTTGAGTGGCCCATTCGAAGATTTGGTTGATGTCTGCTTGGAGTCTTGCGGTGTCTTCAGTGGAGGTCACTGCCATGGCAATCCAGGTGTCATCCGCAAAGGAAGACCCGGAGCTATGGCTTACATCTGTCTGAAATGAGGATGAGGAATAGAATGGGAGCGAGTACTGTGCCTTGTGGAATAGAGCTTTTCACCATGGCTGCCTGGGACTTTACTCTGTTTACTATTACTCTTTGTGTTCTATTTGTCAGGAAGTTATAGATCCATCTACCAACTTTTCCTGTTATTCCTTTATCTCACACTTTCGTGTACTATTTCACCATGATCACGCTTGTCGAAAGCTTTTGCAAATTCTGTGTATACTACATCTCTATTTTGTTTATCCTCAACAGCATCCAGCTCTTGTCATAGTGGTCCAGTAACTGGGACAGGCAGGAGTGACCTGTCCTCAACCCGTGTTGCCCTGGGTTGTGTAATTGATGGGTACTTAGGTGGTTGGCGATCTTGCTTCTTAGAACCCTCTCAAAGATTTTTATGATATGGGATGTTAGTGGTATCGGTCTGTAGTTCTTTGCAATTGCTTTACTACCACCTTTGTGGAGTGGGGTTATGTCTGTTGTTTTTAGTATGTGTGGGATGACCCGTCTCCATGCTCCCTCTCCGTAGACTGCTTAAGGCACGCGATAGGGGCTTCTTGCTATTCTTGATGAACACGGAGTTCCAGGTGTCTGGGTCTGGGGCAGAGTGCATGGGCATGTCATTAATAGCCTTTTCAAAGTCTTGTGGAGTTAGGGTAATATCCAAGATTTTTGAGATGTCCAGATTTTGGGTTTCATTCATAAAGAATTCATTTGGATTGTCGACCCTTAGTCTGGGCAGCGGCTTGCTGAACACCAAGTCATATTGGGACTTTAATATCTTACTCATTTTTTGGCTATCATCTTTGTATGTCCCATCCCACCTAAGCAAGGACCCAATACTGGATGTTGTTTTTCCCTTAGATTTGGCATAAGAGAAGAAATATTTTGGTATTTTTTCAATTTCCTTTATGGCTTTTAGTTCTTCCTTCCTGTGATTCTCGTCTCCTGTAAGATTCCTTCAGCTTGAGTTCGATATTTACAATTTCATTGACCAGTGCCTCCCGTCGTATCTCAGCAACTCTGTGACTCTTCGCCTTATTCTGTATAGGGAGCATCTCTCTCTCTCTAGTTTACACCTTCTCTTTCTCTTTCTTCATGGAATGTGTCTTGAGCAGATCTCAAGAACCACAGAGTTCATTTTTTCTAGGCAAATGTTCGGATCCGTGTTGTTTAGGATATCTCCCCGGCTTGTTTCATTTAGGACATGGTTGACTTGATCCTATTGTATGTTTTTGTTATTAAAATTGAATTTAGTGTAGAGACCTTCATGACTGATCATATTTTGCTGGTCAGGAGCCCTGTGCATACATGTCTGTACCTGAGTGTATTGTCTTTTATACGGTTAAATTACGTATCAGATCTTCGTTGTTAGTGAAGATGTGGTCCAACATATTTTCTAGTCTTGTATTTGCTGGTTTAAGGTGAATTTGGTGCAGAGATTTAATAGTTCATGTGTGTGAATTTTCGTCTGAGCTGCCTCCTGGGGTGATCTATACTAAAACATTGTTTGCTATACTCCTCCATTTTAGGTGTCTCAAGTTGAAATCTCCTAGTGGTAAGATGTTTGGGGCAGGAGTTGGGAAAGTTTCCAGACATTGATCAGTTTTCAAAAGGTGCTCCTGGAATTGCTGGGAAGTTGCATCTGGAGGTTTGTATACCACCACAATGACAAGGTTTTGGTTTTCAGTCTTTACTGCCAAAACTTCAACTACATCATTTGAGGTGTTTAGTAGTTCTGAGCAAATGAGCGACTGTGATGTACAGGCCAACCCCTCCTTGTTGCCTGTTTAGTCTGTCGCACCTGAATAAGTTATAACCTGGGATCCACATTTCGTAGTCATAATGGTCCTTTGTGGGTCTGTGAATACTGAAAACATTGCATATG